CCCCAAAACCCCAAAACCCCAAAACCCCAAAACCCCTATTCCTCTTCATGCGTTGAATTAGTATACTTTCTTGAGAAATTTTGGGATATACTAATCATACCTGAATAAAGATATTCTTGATACTCCAAAGAGAATAAAGGCTACTTCTAATCTACTTTAGGTCCTATTGATGTATGGTAAAATTATGGTGCTTTGGCTTTAGATACCAAGTAATAGGAAGTGAGTAGAGAGAAATAGGGATCTTGGAAAAATACAAATCCTAAAAGAAGAAAATTGCCTTAGCTGTAGGAAGGCTGGAGAGTAATCTTGAGAAGTTTCTTAGCATCAATAGTCTTATTCAAAGGTTGGGAAGGAAGCCATAGTAGCAATTCCGCACATGTTTTGTCCAGCAGCAAGTCTGATATGTCCTGATTCTCCCCATGATTCACCCCAAGAGTTTCTGATAGTGGCAGAGTTCTCATCAGAGTTGTATCCAACAAGGGTAACTCCGTGATTCAAAGCTGTGGAGCAAGAGGTCAAGATTCCTCCTTGGTAGTATGACCATGAAGTTGCGTCAACGGCAACTGCAATTGGTCCATCATCATGCAATTTGTGATACATGAAATCTTCTGATCCTTGTGGAATATCAGCGTATCCGGTATCGACTGGTCCCTTATCGCAAGAGTTGATTTTACATGAGCCGGTGACAGCAGTGTATGGGTATTCAGAATGACTACAGAAGTGATGATCAGTCAAGTATTGGAAGGCATAATCCATCAAACCTCCATTACATCCGCTTGATTGTGGTTCACAGTCAACAAGTTGTTGCTCAGAGTAGAAAGTATCTACTGATGGGTTATTGGAGTCTTCAGCAAGAGCTTTTCTGGCTTCAAAGGTAGCGGCAGCTGAGAAAGCCCAGCATGATCCACAGCTTCCTTGATCTTCGATATGATCATACAAGTAAGTATAGTCTGAGCTTTCAGCAGTGATGTCCTCGTTAATGCTTCCGAGCATCTTCTTGCCAGCTGGAACGATGAGTCCCATTCTTACGTTCATCTCTTCTTGGGTTCTGTCAGCGAATTTGTTGACTCCGAAGGTAGCCAATGGATTCTCAATTCTAAGTCTATCAATTGTCTGCAAGTTGTCTGAGAAAACTCTGAGTCTGAAGTTATATTCTTCTACTGATCCGTAGTTAGCTCCATACATTGAAAGGAACTCTTGGAATTGAGTCTCAACATCAGAGCTTACATAATTAGAAACAGAATAAAAAGCTAATCCAACAACAGCTGCAATAGCAACAACACCTAAAATCTTCATATTTAATATTATAACTTAAAATTTTCATCTCTCCTATATACAAAGGGGTTTTGGGGTTTTGGGGTTTTGGGGTTTTGGGGTTTTGGGG